AAAAAAAAAAAAAAAAAAAAAAAAAAAAGATAGAGATATGATGGTTTTATAAGGGTCTCTTCCTCCTTCACTCTCTCCTGACATCTTGTGAAGAAGGTACTTGCTTCTCCTTTGCCTTCCACCACGATGATAAGTTTCCTGAGGCCTCCTCAGCCAGGCAGAACTGTGAGTTGATTAAACCTCTTTCCTTTATAAATTACCCAGTTTGGGTATTATTTTTTTTTTTTTCAAGTCTGAGTCTGTCTCCCATGCTGGAGTGCAGTGGCATCATCTCCCTTCACTGCAACCTCCGCCTTCCAGGTTCAAGTGATTCTCCTGCCTCAGCCTCCTGAGTAGCTGGGATTACAAGCGCCAGCCACCATGCCAGGCTAATTTTTGTATTTTTAGTAGAGATGGGGTTTCATCATGTTGGCCAGGCTGGTCCCGAACTCCTAACCTCAAGTGATCCTACCACCTCGCCTCCCAAAGTGCTGGGATTACAGGCGTGAGCCACCGCGCCCGGCCTCGGGTTCTTCTTTGCAGCCCTGTGAGAATGGACTAATACAGACTCCATTCCAGGAGATGACAAATAGCAAAAGGCAAAAGGACACTCCCTTCTTGCCCTTTTTCTCCCCAACTTTTGTCTTTACGTTTCCTCCCATCAACTGCCTTTCCTAACATTGTGGTGACTAATGATTAAAGAAGAAAAAAAGAACGAGGTGAAAAAACACTTTACTTTTCCCTCCCACCACTCCAATCCCGAATTGTGAAATTCATTATTTTACTGATCCTCTTATTTGTGCAGTAAAGCCGTGAGGTAAGGGTGAGCCTTTCTAGAGAGTAAGGACTATCCAATACCAGGAACCTCAGAGTCCTTCCTCAAACCATTATCTTAGAGCTATCTGATCACCGTGGTCACCATACATGCAGTCTACTAATGTCAACCACAGCAGCACAGTAGGGGTGAGGGGCAAGAGGTGATCTCTGTTTAATTTCGAGGAAGAGTCCAGGGAACCACCATCCAGCCACCCTTCCTCCACTGGCTCCTCGAGGTTCTCCCGGCGCCTCCCCTCCTAGCTTCGGGCCCATCTGCCGAGTAAGGGCCAGGGCGCCCCCTCGTCCGCTTAAGCCTGACCCCACCAACTTTTCAACCAATACGATATACTCTCAGACTTCATCCCGGTCAGCTCCCTCCACCCCACTCCTAGAGACTCACCAAGCGGGTGAAGCCACTCCGCTCCGGCCGCTGTAGGTCCGACACCCCAACACCGGACCCGGCGCGGCGCCCTTGTCGCGCCTGCGCGCGCCCAGGCCGCGCGCCTGCGCACTTCCCGTGCACCGCGGACGCGAACACACCCCTGCAGCTGGAGCCAATCACGGTGCTGGGGGTTTAAATCTCCCTGCCACGGTGGCGGAGAGCCTGGGAATTCACCAGTTAACCGGATAGACTTCAGTCCTGCCCGAGGCTGAGAGGTGTTCATCCAATAAACATTTACTGAGGACAAACCGTGTGCCAGATGAACGCTAAGGAAAAGAAAGCGAATAGAAAGCTTTCTCTGCCCTTCAGCGCCTTTCAATCTGTCTAGACTAAGATATAGATATGTAAACAAATTATAGTGGATGGAATACAGTGCATAGTACATAGAAAATCCGAGGCGTCTTTGGCTGGTAATAAACAAAGCGTTTCATTCTTAGGGGTGTCTGGAAGGGTTCCCGGAGGAAGTGACTTGAGTCATGAAGGATAAGTAGGAGTTCCCCGGAAATCCGGCAGAAAAGGAGCTAGAGTTTCCCAGGTTCTGGGGAACAACTGGTGTCAAGAACAACATAACGCATTTTGGAAGTTTCTAGTACTGTATCCTTGTTAAAGGCTTAGTGCTAATCGTACATCCCCGAGTGTAGAGGGAAGAAAGCTTTAAAAGGCCAACAATGACTAGATTTTGGAAGGTCTTGGAATTTTGGACCACTTTGTACTATAGGCTCTGAAAGCTATGGAAGGGTTTTAAGCAGATGGGTGATTATTGTAAACCATTTGCTGCAGGAACCTTTCCACACACCTCTAAGAATAAAGTGCTGGAAATCAAGAAAAGAAAGTGCTTCAAAAGGAAGTAGTCCATTCCTAAGGAGGACGAAGCCTGAGAAATGTTTAAATTTCGTAACACAGAGGTCACTGATTATCTCAGTGAAAGCTGTTTGGTGGAATGCTGCGGTTGAAAAAATAGTTTGGAGATGAGGGAGATATAGAGATGGGGACAGGTTGTAGAATGCTTTTGGAAAGGTTGACCTTGACAGGGAGGAAGGAGGGAGGATGACGAAGGATCAAGATTTTTTGTTTTTGGCCGGGCGCGGTGGCTCACGCCTGTAATCCCAGCACTTTGGGAGGCCGAGGCGGGTGGATCACGAGGTCAAGAGATCAAGACCATCCTGGTCAACATGGTGAAACCCCGTCTCTACTAAAAGTACAAAAAATTAGCTGGGCATGGTGGCACGTGCCTGTAATCCCAGCTACTCAGGAGGCCGAGGCAGGAGAATTGCCTGAACCCAGGAGGCGGAGCTGAGATCGGGCCATTGCACTCCAGCCTGGGTAACAGGAGCGAAACTCCGTCTCAAAAAAAAAAAAAAAAAAGATTTTTTGTTTTTGTTTATTGGATTTTTTTTTTTTTTGAGACAGAGTCTTCCTTTGTCGCTAGGTGCCAGGCTGGAGTGCAGTGGCGGGATCTCGGCTCACTGCAATCTCCGCCTCCCGGGTTCAAGCACTTGTCCTGCCTCAGCCTCCCGAGTAGTTGGGACTACAGGCATACAGTACCACGCCCAGCTAATTTTTGTATTTTTAGTAGAGATGGAGTTTCACCATGTTGGCCAAGATGGTCTTGATCTCTTGATCTCGTGATCTGCCCGCCTCGGCCTCCCAAAGTGCTGGGATTAAAGGCGTGAGCCACCGAGCCCGGGTGTTTTTTGGATTTTTGTTAGAATTAAGACAGGAGAAATTTGAGCACTGTAGGGAAGATTCAACTGAGAAATAATGTTTGAATAAAGGAAGAGAAGGGATAGTCAGTAGGCAAAGAAGTTCTTGAAAGGGTAAGAATAGCAACAGTTTAGAGGCAGTTCAAAGCACTGGTGAGAGGAGTGGTTTTGGAAGAAGGGAGGGAGGGAGAAAGAGAGAGATGATACTTCCCCAATTATGAGAGGAAGAATGTGTCTGTTTGTATGTTTAGTAAAAGGAAGTTAAAGTTCTCTTTTGATGACCTGTTTTCTCTGTGAAGTTGGAGATAGGGTCATCTGACAGAAAATGAGATAGTATCGGGAGTTTAAATGAAAGTTGAGAAGATTTGGAATATTGTAGAAAGTAATACAACAAATTGACAGAAAAACATTGTAGGACTGGTAACCAATATTGAGGGCCTTTTTAATATGGGCAAAAATGAACTCACCATTTTCTGCCCTCCTGTGTAGCTTTCTCAAGCAGTAGTCACTTTTCAAGGGCAGAGGTGGAGAAAATGCATAGTTGAGTTCATTTAGAGTTGGGATGGTCATTGATATAATTCCATGGTTCTCAACCAGGGACAATTTTGTCCTCCACGGGATATTTACCAATGTCTGTGATAACAGGGAAATGGGGGGTGGATACTACTACCATCTTGTCCAGCGATGCTGCTACATACACACACATACACACACACACACACACACACACACACACACACACAGAAAGAGAAAGAGAGAGAGAGAGAGAGAGAGAGACAGGGTCTTGCTCAGACTGGAGGGCAGTGGTGTGATGTTGGCTCACTGCAACCTCTACCTCTTCGGCTCAGATCCTCCCACCTCAGCCTCCCAAGTAGCTGGGACTACAGGTGTGCACCACCACACTCGGCTAACTTTCACATTTTTTGTAGAGACGAGGTTTCACCATGTCACCTAGGCTGGTCTCAAACTCCTGGATTCAAGCAATCTGTCTGCCTTGACCTCCCAAAGTTCTAGGATTACAATGTGCTAGATTACATAGTTCTAGGATTACACAGTGCTCCTGATCTGCTGCTAAACATCTTATAATGCACACAATACCCTTGACAACAAAAAAGTATATGTTCCAAAATGTCAGTAATCCCAAAGTTGACAAACCCTCAAGTAGCTTACCTTAACACTCACCAATATCTGACTGTGGTCTTCTAAAGGCTTTTCCTTGAACGATGGGCCAGAGTTTACAGGGTAAAATAGTTCTTCCATTGCATGCCTTTGAAGGAGAATAAAATGAGCAGCATACCACAGCCCTTGAGTGTTTCAAGGACTTGTGATGTCACAAACACAGAACTGGAAGTTTCCGAAACCTCTAGAAGCAAATCTGGATTTACGTAGAGATTAATGTAACCGCTCACTTTTATTTGAGACATTGAAGGTCTGGTTAAACAGAGATGTTATAATCTCAATAATATAAGGGGAACATTTAACATAATGATCAACCTTAATGTCATTTCCTTTATCTGACTAGTCTCAGTCACCAAAATTATGGCTCTGAGAGAATGGGTATGGGCTAAGTTTAATAATAAATATAGGTGGCCGGGCACGGTGGCTCACACCTGTAATCCCAGGACTTTGGGAGGCCAGAGCCCGCAGATCACTTGAGGTCAGGAATTTGAGACCAGCCTGGCCAACATGGCGAAACCCTGTCTCCACTAAAAATACAAAAATTATCTGGACATGATGGTGCATGTCTGTAATTCCAGCTACTTGAGAGGCTGAGGCAGGAGAACTGCTTGAACCCGAAGGCAGAGGTTGCGGAGAACCAAGATAGTGCCACTGCACTCCAGCCTGGATGACAGAGCGAGACTTCATCTCAAAAATAACAATAATAATAATAAATGTAGGCTGGGCACAGTGGGTGACACCTGTAATCCAGCACTTTGGAAGGCTGAGGCAGGTGGATCACTTGAGCCCAGGTGTTTGAGACTAGCCTGGGCAAGATGGTGAAACCCATCTCTACTTAAAAAAAATTATAAATACCTTAGGCATGAGTAAGAATAAAACCAGTTGCCAGGCGCCGTGGCTCACACCTGTAATCCTAGCACTTTGGGAGGCCGATGGGTGGATCACATGAGGTCAGGAGTTCAAGACAAGCCTGGTGCACTTGGTCAAACCCCATCTTTATTTAAAAAAAAAAAAAAATATATATATATATATATATATATAAACAAAACAAAAGAATAAAACCAGTTATAATGGAATGTCTGCTCTGTGATAGGCAGCATTCATAGATAAACACTTGACTATGTTATTTAATTTTAGCAACACCCTGTGAGATAACATTATCCTAATCTTAGGGTTTTTTGTTTGCTTTGTTTTTTTTGAGACCCAGTCGCTGTCTGTTGCCAGGCTGGAGTGTAGTGGCGTCATTTTGGCTCACTGCAACCTCTGTCTCCCGGGTTCAAGCCGTTCTTCTGCCTCAGGCTCCTGAGTAGCTGGGACTACCGGCGCCCGCTACCACATCCGGCTATTTTTTTTTTTTTTTTTGAGTAAAGAAGGGGTTTCACCATGTTGGCCAAGATGGTCTCGATCTCCTGACCCACCCGCCTCGGCCTCCCAAAGTGTTGGGATTACAGGCATGAGCCACCGTGCATGGCCCAACATTATCCTAATTTTAACTCAAGATCTTGCGGTTCCAAGAAAAATTTTAATTTACCCAAAGTCGTAAATTATTAGTAGCTAGTCCAAGATCTGAAACTCGGGCAGGTCTGTCCTAAAAGCTCTTGCACCTCCCATTAAATTTTAGTAAACTTTACAAGGAAGGGGTGATTTCAAAATTTAGCCTTAACAGTTGCCACTGACTAAAGGAAATGGCGGGACACCAAGGAAGGTGCTAGAGGGAGGCCGGGAAAGAACAAGGAGAAATAAGGAAAATGAAAAAGGGACCAGGAAGGCTGTTCACAGCGTCCGATGCTGCGGACCGACTCTCCCGCAAGTTGGCCTGCCTTTGTTCCTCCTCCATTCTTTTTGAGAAAAACCTCTTCCTGCGTGTCCGTTGTTCACTCTCTTGTGTTCAAATAAAGCTAGATTATTGAGAACGGCGGCAGGCAAAGGAAAAAAAAAAAAGGAGCGTGACGGCTTCGCTGTGCGCCTGCGCGCTGGCGGCGGCTGTGGCGGGGCCCGGCGGGGAGCGGGTCCGGAGCAGGCTCCCGGACCCAAATCTGAAGGGGGAGTGTGGGGCGTCAGGGAGCTCCCTCGCCTGGCCTTCGGCGGCCTGATGGAGTAAGAGGGGTTGGCTGTGAATGTGAGTATCGATGGGCCGGCCTGCGTTGAGCGTATTGGAGCGCAAGGGTCCTGCTGGTCTGTCCCTTAGGGAGGTTGTAGGGCTGCAAGACCCGGCCGGCTTTCTGCGCCGGCAGGCTGCGGCGCAGGGGTAACCCAGGGGTCCACTCTCCCAGAGCCGGAGCGGGATTACAGGCAGGCGGTGCTGCTGGCTTCGGGGTACGGATTTTCGTGGGGGCGTTCCAGCTCTGCTCCCAGCCCCAGAAGGAAACGTGGCTCCAAAGCCTTGACCTTTAGGGGAAGCCGCTGACCTCCTTCGGTCCTCAGTTGGGCAGGGAGTCCAAAGACCCTGGTGCTTAAAGCCCATAGTGTCAGGCCCGGGACACAGTTCAACCTCCCGCGACTGACAGCCTTCGTTCCTTTTCCTCCTTTCGTTTCTCTGCTTGTGTGATGCATCTTAATAATAGCAACTAATTATGGAGCGGTTACTGTGTTCATTTAATATTTAGTCAGAATCTCCGTTTATAGTTATGGAAAGGAAACGCGTTACACCCTCCTCCTCCCCTTTCAGTTTGTTGTTTAATCATCTTTGAGAGTAAGATTTGTTGAGAAGTTTGAGATATTCATGGCTTTTAGCAACTTGAGACTGCCATTCTAGGTAAGGGAAGTTCTCTTGCTTAGCAAACAAGTGCTGTATCCACCATAATGGTTTATATCCAGTCTATTCAAACCAAAAATAACTTCTGAGTACTTACTAAGAGCTCAGTACTGTTGTAAATCCCATGGGAAACCTTAAAATTTGCTTTAAGGGCCGGGCGCGGTGACTAACGCCTGCGATCTTTGGGAGGCCTAGGCTGGTGGATCACGAGGTCAAGGAGTTCAAGACCAGGCTGACCAAGACGGTGAAACCCTGTCTGTACTAAAAATACAAAAAATTAGCCGGGCGTGGTGGTGGGCGCCTGTAATCCCAGTACTCTGGAGGCTGACGCAGAGAATCGGTTGAAACCCGGGAAGCGGAGGTTGCAGTGAGCCGAGACCGCGCCACTGCACTCCATCCTGGGCGAGAGAGCGAGACTCAGTCACAAAAAAATTTTTTTTTTCTTTAAGCCCTGTTCTCAAGTTTGGTCTTGAATGAAATAAGAGACGACAATATTCAGATGCAACTAGAATTTATTTAGTATCTACTACACATTTGCAAAATACATTTAGGTGTGTCATAAAAATATTAACGAGATACTGTAATGGAAAGTAGGTTTTTGCAGCATTTCAAATGAGATCGCAGGGATTCTGCTGGTAATTTGCTCAAGCTAAACTAGCTAGAGTAAGTGGTGAAATTCACTTAATACAGTTCCAAAGCACGTCTTTTCCCAAGCAAACTGCATTACAGTTATAGTTTCTAGCGTTAACTCCTTTTTCCGGAGACAAGTCTTGCTCTGTCGTCCAGGCCAGAGTGCAGTGGAGCACACCCTGCTCACTGCAACGTTCGCCTCCCTGATTAAAGCGATTCTCCTGCCTCAGCCTCCTGAGTAGCTGGGATTACAGGCACCCACCACCACGCCCGGCAAATTTTTGTATTTTAGTAGAGACACTGTTTCATCATGTTGGCCAGGCTGGTCTCGAACTCCTGACCTCAGGTGATGCGCCTACCTCAGCTTCCGAAAGTGCTGAAATTACAGGCTTGAGCCACCTCGCCCAGCCTGGATCGTTTTTGATTAAAAGGAAGATACTAAAAAAGTCATAGATTTCATCTGATTTTTATATCTCTTGAATTCTCTTTTAATCTAGAACAGTTACGTTTCCCCCTCTCTTTCCCTCGATACCCCCTCCACGTGAGTTGTTGAAAGGACCTGGTCAGTTATCTAGATTTGTCCTTGATTGGCTTCTGGTGATAGCATTTAACTTGTTACTACAAACCGGAAGTTAGAGCAGATCACGTGATATGATTCAGGTGAAACTATGAATAGTGATTATTGTACATTTAGATTAGAACACATGTAGTTTGAAGGCTGCTCTACAAGAGTAGAAAGGAATAATGGTAGATGCTAGATGACTTGGCTCTCGGACCAGGAATGGGTTAGTGAGAAGTCTATGCATTGTGTTTTGTAATTGGACAATCTTGGAGAGTTCAGGATTAATTTGTGTACCCAATGAATAAGAGCACCGAGGCAGACAAGTTAGGTGTGAATACTCTACTTGGACCTCTAGCATGTGAAATCACTAGTGGAAGCCCTACAGTCCAGTGTGTGTGCATGCATGTATTAATCTGAAAGAAACTATCAAGAAGTTCCCAGGTGTTCATCAGTAAAGGATTGGTTAGATAAATATATCCATGTGCTAGAAAGAATGAGCCAGCTCTATATGTGCTAATATTGAGTGACCTCCGATATAGTGAGAAAGAAAAGGTGCAAAAGAAGGTGTGCATTTTGCAACCACTGTAGTTTTATAAAAATGTATGTATTGCATATACAATTGGTCCTCTATATCCATCCATGGGATCTGCATCCATGGATTCAACCAAGTTTGGATGGATAATATTTGGGGGAAAAATTTTTCACGAAGCTCTGAAAAGGAAAACTAGAATTAGCTACCTGCTGAGTACGTACTACATTGCATCCACAGAAATGAAGTTACGTGTAGGCATTGTAGTAGGTCTTGTATGTAACGTAGAGATGATTTAAAGTATACAGAAGGTATGTGTAGGTTACATGCATATACTATGCCGTTTCACATATGGGTCTCTAGGATTCTCATGTTTTGGTATTGAGGGGGATCCTGGAACCAGTTCGCCATGGATAGTGAGGGACAACTGTATGTGCATAGAATATCCTGTGTGGAGTACAGTCAAAATCATAGAGGCAGAAAGTAGAGTGGTTGCTAGGGGTTGGGGAAGGGGGAAATGAGGAGTTATTGTTTAACAGATACAAAGTTTCAGTTACGCAAGATGAAAATAGTTATGGAGATGGATGGTACTGATGTACTTATGAATGTATTTAATACCACTAAACTACACTTAAATGTTTAAGATGGTAAATTTTATGTATTTCAACGCAAAAATATTGAAAAATATCTCCAGAAAACAAACTTCTAAGAGTGGCTGTAATTGTTGGTGGCTAGGAAACAGAAGGGACTGGTAATCATGTTCCGTAAAAGCTTTTTTTTTTTTTTTTTTTTGAGACAGGGTCTTGCTCAGTCACCTAGGCTGAAATGCAGTGGCATGATCATGGCTCACTGCACCTCACACTCCTGGGCCCCAGCAATCCTCTTCCTGCCTCAGCCTTCTTAGTAGCTGGGACTATAGGTGTGTTCCACCATGCCCAGCTAATTAAGAAAAAAAAAATTGTTTTTTTTTTTTTTGGCTGGGCGTAGTGGCTCAAGCCTGTAATCCCAGCACTTTGGGAGGCCAAGGCTAGTGCATCATGAGGTCAGGAGTTCGAGACCAGCAAGAACAACATGGACCGGGTGCAGTGGCTCACGCCTGTAATCCTAGCACTTTGGGAGGCCGAGGTGGGTGGATAACCTGAGGTCAGGAGTTCAAGACTAGCCTGGCCATCATGTTGAAACCCCATCTTAAAAAAAAAAAAAAAAAGAACAACATGGTGAAACCTGGTCTCCACTAAAAATACAAAAATTAGCCAGGCATGGTGGTACACACCTGTAATTCCAGCTACTCAGGAGGCTGAGGCAGGAGAATTGCTTGAACCCGGGAGGCAGAGGTTGCAGTGAGCCCAAATTATGTCACTGCACTCCAGCCTGGGCAACAGTCTCCTGGGACTACAGGTGTGCACCACTAAAGCTGGCTAATTTTTTGCATTTTAGTACTATTGTATTTGTATTTTTTGTATTTTTGTATTTGGCCTATTCTTGACATTTAATGCCTAAATATTTTAATGTCTCTAATAAGAACATTTTCCCACACAATCCTAATATAATTACAGTGAACAATAAGTAATTCCTCTATTTTGTCTAATACTCAATTCTTACTAAAATTTCTCCAGATTGATCATTTTTTAAAAAAACTTTTAAAATCCAGTTTCTAATCAACAGCCACAGATTTAATTTGATTTTTATATCTCTCCAAGTCTCTTTTAATCTAGTACAGTTACCTTTTTCCATCTCTTTCCCTCGATACCCCCTCCACATGACTTGTTGAAAGGACCTGGTCAGTTATCTAGATTTGTCTCTGATTGGTTTCTGGTGATATAATTTCACTTGTTACCACAAACTGGAAGTTAGAGCGGACCACTTGATATGATTCAGGTGAAACACTTTAGGGACGATATCATACTCCATGTTGTGTACTTTAGCTTTCCAACTATTATTGGTGCTGAGATTGATTAGTGAGGTCAGATGAAGAATCTTTGAGTTCTCCATTGTTAAATTAATGTCTCTGTTTGAAACCAGCTGTAAGCCCTTTTGTACCTTTTACATTTTGAAACCACTAGCATTAGTTCTATTCAAAATAGAAGTGATTACTTTTAAAACAAAGCTCACTGCAAGAATTTTTTTTTAGCTGAATCTGTGTTAACTATTCCCTTTTTATAAAGGGTGATTTTGAAGTTTGGAGAGGTTAAGAGTTACTCAAGGTAGTAGTCCTATGAAGTATTTTTGTTTAATTCCAAGGTCCATGCTTTTTCACCCTACTTTATAAGCTAATATATAAATGTAAAATAGTACTACTGTAGTAGTTACATTACTTGTATCTTCTTTGTAGCTTTTTAGACAGATAATCAGTCTCTAATAAGATAATTTTGGAATATCAGTAAACCAGACTAGAGCTATGTAGTGTAATAGTCTATAACTAGCCATTCTGAAAGTTAAAAAATATGTCAAAATTGTATCTCTTGATTTCTAGAGTTTCAAAAAGTACCATTCCTGGAACGAATCATAGCAGTCTTGATTTGTAGGCCTAAAGTCTTCTAGGTTTAAAAAAAAAAATTACTAGTTAAAAAATGAGTTTGTTTTTTTTTTTTAAAGGGTTTTGTTGTGTTTTTTTTTTTTTTTTT